CCGTCGATGAGAACCTGCGCATGAATGTCGTCGATGTGTTGCAGCACCCGTGGATTAAGCGAGCACTCGGCAAACAGTAGATAGGTGCTGAGGGATGATGATGATTGCGCTCGATTAAATTGTTTGGAATAAGATGATGTTGCCAATTTGGAACTTTCTGCAAGGCGATAAAAAGTAGCAGCAATTTTATACGCTGACTCAACTTAACTTTTGTTACTTTGTCAAACTAGTCAGCTACTCACTCTAAAACTTAAAAATGCCCGATTCAGATAAACGCAACAAAAACAAGGCCAAGACTGAGGCAAACGATGAGGAGGATGACTGGAAGAAGTGCTCTCTCGATTCGAACATCGGATCGGCGATTTTTCACGCCCCACAGACGCCCTTCCTGTTAATCGAAGAGGGCCGCAAAATGCAGCCCGAGAAGACAGCGGCGGAGGAGGAGGAGAAGAAGAAGCCAAAGAAAAAGCACAAGAGCAAGGACAAAGCGGTGAAGACAGGCAGTGAGGACAAGTCGGCCGCTGACCCGAGCTCTGGCTCGAGCCCCAGTTCACCGCCTTCACCACCGCCATCAAAGACAAAGAAGAGCAAAGAAGATGAATCATCGGGCGGAGGTTCTTCCGAGAAAAAGTCGCCAAAGGCCAGCAAAGTTCCAGCTGCTGGTCCTTCACTGAAAGCACTGAAGAAGACTGACTCTGGTGGCAGTAACGAAAAGAAGAAAAAGAAGACGAAGAACCACAAAAGCAGCAGTGTGACCAGCAACAACAGCAGCAATGCCTCTCAACGCAGCAGTGCCTCCACCAGTGCCTCTTCGCAGGCCACGTCTTCATCGGGTTCGCTGATGAAGCACTTCCCCAGTAATGCCAATGGCAGCCCAATGGTTGCCTCTGAGGAGAAGTACAATCGATACCTCGTTTCCCACCCGTATGGCCACCAGTCATCTGGCTCTTCAGATGGCTCAGTTGATGTCACCTCCTTCTCGACTAGTGCCAGCAACAGCAACAGAGGTCAACAGCAGGTCAAATTGGGCGGTGCTGCTCCTTCTCCTTCAACTGCTCCTCCGCCTGCAACTGCAACTTCCGCTTCATCCTCAAGCGACTCAAAAAGCCACGACAGCAAAAGCGTCATCTCGGCGGTGGCTGGTGAGCCGCGGAATCCTCTCAGAGGCAAAGGCAAGTCCAAAGAGAAGGTAAACAAAGGACAGAAAACCTCTTCAACTAGTCTGTCTCGACAGAAACGCGAAAAAAAGAAAAAGACAGCGGAGAGTAAGCAGGATCGCAAAGCAGGTTCCACCACCAGCAGCCCCTCACCGATTGGCGACTTGAATAGAAAAGGCTCTCCGGAAACTATTGAGGAGTCTCCGAAGCGAAACAAAGGCAAAGCCTCAGCTGCCTCAGCTGGTTCCCCCTTGAAAAAGCAAACCAGCAAAGGTGCCATCAGCAGCAGTGGCACCAACTCGAGCAGCAGCTCCGACGCTGTTAGTGGAAAGAGTATCATTTCTAAGCTGTCGTCCACCGTCAAGTCGAATGACAAGGCTGCTCGAGGAAAGTGAACTGAAGGCTAATTTTCCAGCGCTGTTTTCAACAATTGCATTTTGTCAAATTAAAACTGATTTTCAAAAAGTGTTCAACTTTCGAACATTAAAAAATAAAAGTAAGCATTCATCTGTCCAGTTTTTCAAACAGTTTCAAAACGGTATTTGCCAAGCAATGACTGACAAAAGCGAAATTGAACAGGAGCTGCAAAACTTGTACGGCCAAATGGAGACGCTGTACGGCAAACCGGTGATTCTGGATGAGTTTGATCAGCACGTAAGTGTCTTTGATGGGTCTAAAACTTTAGTGCTAACCACAGTTCGGCATTCACCAGCTGAAGCAGAGCATCGCCTCTGACCCGAACCGCAGCCGCCTGCTCTCGCTGGCCAAGCAGACCAACCCGATGCCCCTGCAGACGGTCTTCCCCGTGGAGGAGTTCCTGGAGAGTCGCCTCAGCTACCTCAGCTCGGGCTCCTTTGGCTCGGTGATGGTCCACCAGCGAGGCCGCCGTCGTAGCCGCCTGCAGGCGGTCAAGGTCATCACCTGTCTGCCCAGTGGCATGGCCGTGCAGATGACGGGCAGTGGCATGAAGTACCGCGATGTTTACCGCGAGGCGCAGTGCCTCCTCACACTGGGCTCTCTGGCGAGTGGAGTTCGTCGAGCCGTGAAGGTGATGGACGAGAAGGGAGAGACTGAGGATGACGACAGCAACCCCTTCAACACTTCTATTGCCTCCTCTTCATCCACTACCGTTCAGTACAAGGCCGGCTGCTTTCCGCAGCTGTACGCCATCCACCTGGTCGACCCGACCCGCGCGCTGATGAGTCTGGAGGCCTTCTTCGCCTGTACGCCGGGCGTCGCCTCGTACCCCGTCTTCGAGAAGGCCCTCCTCCTCATGGAGCACTGCGGCTCCAGTCTGCACGGCAAGCTGATGGAGCCCGCTTTTGTGGGCGAACCGGCAGTTTCCGTGGCCAAGCAGGTCATCCTCGGTCTGGTCACCGCGGAGCAGGCCTTTCGTTTTGAGCACCGCGACCTACACGTCTCTAATCTGATGGTAGCCAGTGCTGGCAGCCGTTCGGTGGCCACCTTTCAGATTGGCGAGACGCGCTACAGTGTGCCGACGTACGGCGCCCAGGCGAAGATCATCGACTTCTCCTACGCCCGTCTGGAGACGGCCGACGGTGAGACGCTCTACAAGAACTTGGACTCGCTCTTTGAGGGCGAAGATGGCGAAGAACAGGGCGAGGAGAACCAAGGTCTGCCCAAGAAGAGCAAAACCAACAAGGACCACTTTGACGGCTACCGCGACATGTACATCGCCCGAGGNAGACTCGCTCTTTGAGGGCGAAGATGGCGAAGAACAGGGCGAGGAGAACCAAGGTCTGCCCAAAAAGAGCAAGACCAACAAGGACCACTTTGACGGCTACCGCGACATGTTCATCGCCCGAGGCAGCGGAGTGGAAGAAGGCGCTGACCGTTGGGAGCACTACTCACCTCGCAGCAATCTCGCCTGGGTGAAGCGTTTCTTCAGCGAGATGATCCAGCTGATGGCGTACACAGTCAGCGAGATGACTTCTGCTGCACGTTCATCCTCCTCTTCCACCGATGACTGGGCTCGTCTGGTGGCTCGTGCCGAGGGCGCCCGCAAGTACATGGCCTCGCTGCTGGAGCTGGCCACTCGCTCTCAAACCACGGAGCACTTTCTCGAGCAGATGCTGAGTCAGCAGAAGCAGCAGGGGGAGGAAGGCAACGAGCAGCAGCAGCAGGTGCTTGTGCCCATCACCGTCAAGGTCAGCGGGGCCAAGTGAGCAGCCTGTTTGATCTTATTGTTTCTTTCTGTTGATAAGAACCTTCCTATCTTCTCGCCGACTCATTATCAAGTCAGGAGAGCATTACACAGCATTTGAAGTTAATTGCACAAATGAACGTACTGTATGAAGGGTACTGTTGCCAACTTATCAAAGCAGAGCGAGAGAGAGAAAAGGAACACGCGCGTTTCAGACGTCACTTCAGCGTTAGCTTCCACTGAATGCAGACCGGCTTTTTATTCTTCTCAACGCGAATTTCTTCCACGACTCTTGGTCCCAAAGATTCTACTTTGACGCTTTCATTCGCAGGGTTCTGCTCAGGATTTCACTTTGTTGCATCCTCTCAACCCTCAACAACGAGGCCCCACAATGAATGGTCAAATGGACGAGCAAGACCGGCAGTTTTTCAAGGACAACAATGTCAATTTCGAAGGTCGGGAGTATTTCACTAAGCCCATCTACGATTATCGCGATGACCCTCGTTTGAATCCCGAAATTCGAGAGAAGCTAGCAAAGCTCAACTACGTGACGCCGACGCCCATTCAGGCCATCTCTATTCCCATGGTGCTGGATGACAAAGACTTCATTGGTGAGTTTTAGTTTTCTGTTCTACACGTGTCGTTTCTAAATGCCACTCTTTCTTTAGGCATCAGCCAAACTGGCTCTGGAAAAACTCTGGCCTTTCTTCTGCCAGTTTTCGTTAAGCTTTCTCAAGGACTACTCTCCACGGACACTGGCGGTCAGTATGGTCCAACTCATCCAAGTGTGATGGTCCTAGCTCCAACTCGGGAGTTAGCTCTTCAGACAAAAGAAGTCGTGGACAACTTTGGGTTGTACAAGACGATCTGTCTTTATGGCGGCACTTCTCGCATTGAACAGATCAATTACGTTCGACGAAACCGTCCTCCGATCATTGTTGGAACTCCTGGACGCGTGAACGATCTGATGGAATCGAGCGTTTTCGAAGTTGACCAGGTTAAATATCTGGGTAAGTGAGAAGGCGCTCACTTTCTATTTCTATTTAACTTCTATTGGTCTTTCTATTTTCTAGTCCTTGATGAGGCTGATCGCATGTTTGACATGGGTTTCTACCCCCAAATTCAACGAATCATCGATCAATGTCGTAACCCTGACCGTCAAACCCTGCTCTTCTCGGCAACTTGGGAAGGAAAGGTGGAGCATCTGGCTAACCCCTTTATGCGGACCAACCATCGCGTTTTTGCTTGTATTGGTCAGCTCAACTTGAAGGCAAACAAGGCTATCAAGCAGCACCTGATGCTCTGTACCGAGTACCAGAAGAAGGGACTCCTCAAAAAGATCCTGCAAGAGTTTAAAGGCTACAAAGTCATCGTCTTCGCAAACACCAAAATGCGAACCTCTGAGCTAACTAGCATCTGCGATCGTAGCATGGGAAAATCCGAGTTTATTCATGGCGATGTTGAACAGGCTCGACGTACTCGCATCGTCAAAGGTAATTTTAGTCAATTCTATGAAACTTTTTCTACTGACATACTCTTTTTTACTAGAATTTGACAACGGCCGATTCTCGGTTCTTTTCGCAACGGATGTCGCTTCTCGCGGTCTAGGTACGTTTCTAAATTCTAAATAATCAATTTTTTTAACCCAGTTTTCCATATTAGATATCGATGACATTCATGTCGTAGTCAACTATGATTTCCCAAACGACGTCGAATCCTACGTCCATCGTATTGGTCGCTCGGGCCGAAATGGAAAAACGGGCAAATCATTCACTTTTGTGACTGATCGCCTTTTCTCGAGCCCACATCTTCACCGAGAGCTGATCAAAGTGGTAGCGGAATCTGGCAACACCGTGCCACCAAACCTGAACTACTAAAGAGCATCATCGGTCCAGCGAAGTGGCCTAGCACCTGAAACTACTCTTTCTTTGCACATGAGCTCTCAAAATCCTAACTGTAGTACCAAAAACAAATTCCTATTTCCTCTTTAGTTTTAACTCTGCTAATCTTTCACTGTTTGCATCCAAATTCATCAAACTTTTTTGTCAACACAACGCAAACTGCCTTTTTGGCCACTGACTAAAGACATTTACATTTTAGAACTTTCAATAAACCAAATAAAAACCACAATGTGTTCATTTAGTTTCTATTTAAAAACAAAAGCTTGCGCATCTTTCATCTTTGTGTGAATACACTAGCCAGACAGCAATGCTCAAAGAGAACGAAGGCAAGAGCAAGAAGAAGTCATCGGCGGTGATGATGAGCTCGGCTAAAACGCCCAAAACAGCCTGTCCCAAGAAGACGGCCCCGCCACCGGGGAAGAAACCTCAGAGTGGGCAGTCGAAGAAGTCANGGCTCGGCTAAAACGCCCAAAACCTGTCCCAAGAAGACGGCCCCGGGGAAGAAACCTCAGAGTGGGCAGTCGAAGAAGTCAAAGAAAAAGTCNGAAGAAGTCGAAGAAGAAGTCGAAGAAGGGGCACGCCGAAACGGGCAAACTGGCCCGAGAAATCGTGGCCGACATGGAGCACAATCTGCTGCACATTGGCGGCTCACATCACCACGGCAAGTCGAAGGGCAGTGCCAAGTCGAGGAAGAGCAAGAGCAGCAGCAAGGGCCGTCACCCGCACTCGCAGGGCCACTCGCACCCGCACTCAAATAAGAGCAAGCAGAGCAAACGCAGCAGCAAGAAGTCAATGGAGTTCTTCGAGGTGGAGGTCATCCACCCGGGCAGTGCTGTCCACCACCACCACAAGAACATCCCCGGGAAGTACCCGCTTGGCAAGATGACCCCGGGAGTGGTTGCCTCGAGCGGCAAACCCAATTCATCAACGTCGAACAAGTCAAAGAAGTCTGGCAAGAAATCGGGCTCGAANAAAGTCAATGGAGTTCTTCGAGGTGGAGGTCACCCACCCGGGCAGTGCTGTCCACCACCACCACAAGAACATCCCCGGGAAGTACCCGCTCGGCAAGATGACCCCGGGAGGAGTTGCCTCGAGCGGCAAACCCAAATCATCAACGTCGAACAAGTCAAAGAAGTCTGGCAAGAAATCGGGCTCGAAGGCTTCGCTCAAGAAGTCAGCCAAGGGAAAGAAGACACTGTGAGGCTTGAGGTGGTAGTGGTTTACTGTGGGACTACAACAAATCTACAGAATTTGCCCGTTTTGTATTACCTTTTTAAAAAGATTTTTTCAAACTCGATTTTATTTTGCAAATAGAAAGAAATGCATCATATCAACAGTACAACAGGTCGATCATCAGGTGAGTGGTAATGGTGGTGGTAATCCAACAAAAATATTTATCGCGAATCAGTTTAAAGTAAGTGCGTTTCAAGTAGTATCACAATGATTTGAGAGACGAATAATTCGGGAAGCTTGTTCGGCAATTGAGGACAAGAGGACCGAACACGTAGTCGTCACCTGAGGACGTCGTCAGTTGACGGGTAGCATCTTGTAGAAGGTGACGTGTCGGCGAGTGTGCAGGAAGAGGTATATGAAGACCATGAGAACGCACAGTGTGATGAAGAGGGTAATGGTGAGGATGTACACGCTGATTGCTGTTTAGATTGAATGGGTTCGGGCAAGATAAGTAAATTGCCGTTTCTAAATTACCCAGAAAACTACTCACCGTCAGCGCTGACCTCCGACACGTTTCTGCACTCCTCCTCCCAGTCGCCGGGAATGAGATCACCGACCGTCTGCTGGAAGCTGGTCAGCGTGCAGACGGCCTTCTTCGCGCCGTTGGTCCACGTCTGTGGACAGCTCTTCAGCTCCAGCTCAATGGGTCGCTCGGAGGCGGTGTCGTTCAGGTAGAACGTTCGCAGGTACGGCTCGTCCGTTTGGTTCTGGTAAATCTCCAGCATCACCGCTGAGCCTGAACGGGTGAAAGAGTGTTACTTAAGTAAGTAAATAGGACAACTTTAAGTTGTCCAGTAACTTACCGAAAGGCGGTGCCAGGCCATTGTACACGTCGAGGGCGCTGAGAAAAACGCTGAGTTGCGTGTCGTGCTGAAATGTTGAGGAGTAGTGCAAAAGGATTAAAAGGTGAAATGAAAGAACATAATAAAAAAACTTACAGTAGAGTAGACGTAAAGGCGTTTGCCGCCAAAGTCAGGCTTAGCAAAGTTTTCAATCATTTCCTTCAGTAGTAAACCTTTGAGGAGAGGTGTTAGTAAAGTAGTGTCATAGAGAACTTTTTCACTCACCAGTTCGAAGACGCTGAACTTCTCGATTCATGGCAGAGAAGACGAATGACTTGTCGGAGATCTCCTGCAACTGCGTGTACACGTGCCGGTCCACCCAAGAAGGCAACTTTAAGTTGTACTCCTTCTCAATGAGCAGCGAGTCAAAGACTTGCTCCGCCTTGATGATGTCTACCTCCGGCAGACCGGTGTTATCCTTGACGTAGTCGAGTGTCGGCTAGAAAAAGAGCAGTAGGATTTGTCAGTCAACTTAAATTATATAAAAATTCTCTGAGTTATAATCACCTGGATCGTCTTTACATACTGCTTCACCAGTGGCGAGCTGTAGACCTTCTCAATCTCCTCTTTGCCCCTCTTACAGTACGAGTCCGGATTGAGCATGCCATCGTAGTCATGCGGCACAGTCTGAATCGGAAAGGGCTGCCACCTGGAGCCGAGGTCTTCGTCCCACTTCCAACGAGCCTGGGGCGGATAGAGGCCGGCCATGATCAAGGCCACACTCTGCAGACACCGGTCAGAGCCGGAGCTGCGAATGTACACCTCAGAGTTGGGCCCAGACTGGCCGAGGAAGCCCGTGTACCGCCTGGCCAGGTACTTCCCCAGCTTGTACATGCGATTCTTTCCTTTCTGGTAAATAATAAGACAATGGTGGTGGATTAGCACTGGGCAAATCAGCAGCAGCTCCTACATCACCTACAATAGTCAGTTCACCCCAGCCATCGGGCCAGTAAGATGCGTTTCGGTAGGGATCACGAGGATAGCTTTGGATGGGTGATCGGTCTCCATGCCGATGTATCTGCCGATGATATTCGATAGGAGGGGAACAAACAATAAACAGTCTGATTACTACTACTACCATCAAGGGAAATGTAGTCAATGGGCAGTTTACCAGAATGACCAACTTTAGAGCGTCCCCATCTTTGCCATTGTTGTTTGCCGGTGATAATTGCGAGTGCCGCCTCGACTGCGTGGCCAAGGGCAGAAGCAGCAGCACCAGCAATAGGCACAACAAACTGTTGATTCTCATCGTGATTTGTCTGCACTCTTCCTCTTCTTTTTCTTCTTCTTCTCCTTTCTTTCAGTCTGCTGATGATATGTCTGTGATGTTTGTGCGAGTGTAAGAGTCCCTCGTTAGTACATAATTCTTCGTCGATAAGATTCGTGGATTGCCGTGTGTGTGTTTACCAAAGGAAAGGGCAGTGTCGCAAGAGACGTGGTTGGCTGGAGCTGTTGATGATGGCGGTGGCGCTTGTCAGTGGTCCTTGTAACAGCAGCAGCAGCAACAGTCTGGACGACCTTATCACGTCGTTGCCTTTTTTAGCACTTCAACTCGTGAGCAGCATTTTGTTGTTATGTTGGAGGACGATGGGCTGTGATGATAGTGGTGCGGCAAAAAAAAGTGGTGCAGTCACTGTTTGATGCAGCCTCGGTGCCTCGGTGATCCACTGGCAGTTGTGCTGTGTATCAGCAACGGGCGGCAGCGATGGCGACAACGATATGTGCCACTCACCAGAGAGTGTATGTGAGTGGCGTTTGCGGAACTGAAGCCAGGTTGTGTGGTACCACTGAGTGCACTCCACTCACTCGGTGTCTTCGACGATTCAATGCTGGTGCTAGTGCTGGTCAGGAGGCTTAATCGTAGGTCGATTGTTGGTTGTTGAGGTATTCAAATCTAGCCTTGAGGGGCACTGCTATCAATATGAGTTGGCAGATGGATTTGCGTATTGAAGATAGCCAGTTTGGAACGGCCGTGTGCCGCAGCAGTGGGAATTAGTGGAGCAGTCACATCCACCAGCACCACTATTGCCAGTTAGCAGTGTCAGGTGTTACCTAATTAATGCTGGATAATGATCATTTGATGGCGGTGGTTCATTGACCCGTTGTCTCTCCTCTTATCACCATATCACATTGACATTGATGGCGGCGGCGATGTGGCGCCAGGGAGGCGCGAGCACCGGTGCACTGCTGATGCTACACAGTGTACGGCGGCGGCTAAATTAAAAAAGTGGAAATAAAATTAATAACTGTCGCAGTGTCTGTTGAGTGGCCCTTTCTTTCTTTCTCGTTCTATCTCTCTTCAACAAACCAGACAGAGGTGATGACTTTGATCAGTGTACGACGTAGTCAGGCGACGCGACTTCTTTCCACCAAAAATAAAATAATGACAGTGTGTCAATAAATGCAGCTCGTCAGGACAGTGTGTTAGTTGGTTCAGGTGGACGATGATACAAGCAATTAGTGGAAATGCTTCTTCTCCCTCACTTGTAGAGGTGGAGATAATTAATGACAAGCAGAACCGCACGAGTGGGGTGAGAGTGGCGGTGTGTTGCAGTGATTCAGGTTGGAGATCGAAGAAACTGAAAACACCTGGCAAGTGCTAAATATGGCAGTGCCAATGGTAGTGGTGG